ACTAAATCGAATTGCAGAGGTACATCCGGGAGCCACACACAGATTAAGGTCAGAAACAGAACGTTAAAATGAAGCATGAGTTACCTTCTGAGCTAAGGATGAGGGAAGGCACCTCGGGGCCGCAGAGGGGAGAAAGGTCATTCAAAGGACATAAGAAAAGCAGACGTTCAGTCATTAGTTTGCACTGCCCTACACACAGGTCCTAAAAATATTTTTCTGGTGATGACTCTTATTGCGATCAAGGGCCCTAACTTAAAATTTTTAAGGGAGAGGTCAAAGTTTCTCTTGAACCCACAGGGTCTCTAGCCATTGGTTCAAAATAACTCACGTGCCATCTTGGGGAAGCCTCTTTTGAACCCATTCAATATACAAAATAAACATATCAATAACAGCTAACATTGAGACATATTTTACTTGGAGTCTGGTCATTTACACGCTAGGACACCCATGACCCCGTTTCATCCTCACAACTCCCCTAAGAGGCAGATCTTAGCAATATCCCCATTTTACAGACGTGGAAACGGGTTCGTGGAAGTGAAGCAATCAGTTCGCGGTGGGTATCAGGACTGGTAAGCAGAGCCCGGCGGTGTATTTGCCAATCCTTCCTCCTCCTCTCTCCCTGGCCCCTCACCTGCCTCCTCCTCCTCCCGCTCTGCTGTTCTCCCCCGAGTCATGCCGGGCTGCCTGGGCCGCCGCCGGCGAGGACCCAGGGGCAGCCGCCCCCTCCCGCTTTGAGCAAAGGCCGAACCCAGGGCCGGGGCGGGCGCGCACGCGGAGGCAGGAGCAGGCAGACGTGCAGACTCGTGTGTGCACCTTCAAGCACCCACCCGTGTGTGGGGTGCACAGGGAGCCCCAGCTTCCCGCAGACCGGCCTCCCAGGATGCACCGGAAGGCCCCTGCACCCCAATCCCCATCGCCCCTGCCCTCCACCCAGGCCGCCCCTCCAGGCACAGCCCCGGCGCCCCGCCCGCGGACTCACCCAGTCGCGGGCCCGGAACGCCTGCACGCAGCGGGAGCCCAGCGCGCCCCGGCCGCCGTACACCAGCACCCGGCGCGCCTCGCCCGCCGCCGCCGCCATCCTGCGCTTCCCGCTGGTCCCGCTGGTCCCGCCGCTCCGACCGCCCGAGCCGCACGCTGCGCCCCCCGCGCGCCCCGCCCCGCCGGCAAGGACGGCCAACCAGTGGAGAGGAACTGCCCCCCATGCGTCCCGCCCCTCCAGGCCCGCGCGCCCCCGCCTCTCCAAGACCAGCCAACCAGCTCAGTGGAATAGCGCCCGTGCGTCCCGCCCCGCCCAGGCCAGCCAACCAATGGAGAGTATCCGCCCCCGCGCGCCCCGCCCCTCTCAGGCCGCCCAACCAGTGAAGAGGAACCGCGCGCGGCCGCGCCCCGCATAGCGCGCGCTGCAGCCGCCCTGCGCGCGGCCGGGCTCCGGGAGGAAGGAGACCCAGAGGGGCGGGCACTCTTGGCCGCGCCCCCATTCCGGCGGGCCGCCCCGGGACGGGTGCGTCCGCTGAGCCCTGCAGCCTGCGGGGAGGTGCGGGGGACCGGCGTGCGGGGCGCGGGGCTAAGGCCGGAGCGGTGGAGGGCAGGAGTGCGGGAGTGGAGATGGCCCCGGCCATCATCTCAGCATCAGAGAATGGGAGATAAGACAAACCACGAGTGAGAACGTGTAATACCTTCACCAATGAAGAAAGAAGAAGAAAAAAAGTACAAATTGACAGTTACAAAATAGTCATAAGGATGTAAATAAAGTACATCATAAGAAATACGATCAATGATGTTGTAACAGCTATGTTGTACACCTGAAACCAATAGAATATTGTATGTCAACTGTAATTAAAATATTAAAAATTGAACTAAAAACTCAAAAAAAAAAAAAAAGTCAGACCACTAGTATATAGTTTTCCTCTAAATAGGAGTGAAGGCTACCTTGGCCATCCTGCTTAATAGCCTCAGTCTCCTCGCCAGTGAAAGGGGAATAACTAAGCTGCCTATGGTTTGGGAAAGGGTTTTAAAAGCTGAAACTAGAGCTGTGTGGCTCTAAATAGTAGTAGGAGTTTTGCATTTTGGAAGTCGGGGGGAGGGGGGTATTTTAATACCATTGCGGGGGGGGGGGGGGGGCGGTGGCATATTTAAGCATTAACGTTTACCAAACCAACAATACAAAACTTGTAGCATACTGTAGTGTAAGTGTTTGCATCTCCCAAATGAATGCTTTTAATAAAAATAAATACTGCTTGCTTAAAAATATGAGTACGTAACAGGCCTCTGGTCTGGTAGGAACACACGTTCAATGGTGTCTAGTCCTATAATACTGTCCTTGGACCTCTGTGACCGTGTGTAAGCCCCACCAAACGGTACCACCTGCCTCACCAATAGAGCCTGGCACTTTCTCTCTTGCAAACAGTTCACTCTGCTCATGGCCTGTGCCTTTCATGCAGGGTTTCTCAATCACAGCGCTGTCTGTTCTGTGCAGGCCACGGGGGGCGGGGGGCATCAGTCCTGTGCCTTCTAAGGATGCTTACAGCATCTCTGGCCTCTACTTCCTAGCTAGGAGCAGCGCCCCACGCATAGTCGTCACAATCAAAAATATCACCAGATATTTCCAAAGGTCCCCCCCGAGAGGAAGGGGGTGCCGGGGGAGGCAACATCTCCCTTGGTCGAGAACCGCTGTCCTAAAACTGCTGTAAGCTTGCCAGCAGGATCCCATGTCACACATCTTCGTGTCACCCTTCACCCCAAACACAGGGCCTGGTCCCCAGCACACACACACACAAGCTTATGCAGACACGGCGTGCAGGGATACATCGTGAGAGAACAGGCTGCATCCTGTAACTCATTTTATTATCAGACGCGTCATTACCAGAAACAGAATTACTAGGAGACCGGGTGGGGAGAACACCAGTTATTTAGGGCCCTCCGTATGCCACGCACGTGCTACGTGGCCTGCGTGGGCCATTTCATGTTACCTTGAACCGCAGTCCTGTGACAAGTTAGGAAACAGTCATGCGAGTCCAGGGCACGCGCCCGGAAGAACCGGAATTTGAACCCAGGTCTTTAATGGCTCAAGCTCATCTCCAATGTCATGCCAAGGGCCTGTGGGGGAATCAGATGTTTCCCAGAGAGTTTTTCTAAACGTAATTGCTTCACCTCTGAAACATCGAAAGTTGACATAGGTGCATCATTTGGGGCCAAAATGTGATGCAAAAGTATTGCACATGCCCTGCCTATCAAAGCATGCTTCATGTTAAAACGGAATGCCATTACTGGCAACGTGTTCATGTGCCAAGAACTCTTCTATTATTGTTTGCTTCATTTTAAATTTGATTCCCAATTACAGTTCACTTTCAGTATTATTTTGTATTTGTTTCAGGTGTCCGGCATAGTGATAGATCCTCCCTTCCTCCAACTGATGGACGGAGAATGATGTAAACTCCACCTGCAGCAGGACATTCCTGAGCACTGAACCACCAATCAGCACCTGCCAAATACTCTAAGCCCCCCATTCCTAAGTCCCTAGGTCCCTAATCATAGGCTTTACATGAAACCACCAATCAGCGTGTGCCGAGTGCCCTAAGCCCCGCCCCCGCTCTTTCCTCCCCTTAAAAGGTGCCTGAACCCTGGCCCTCGCTCTCTTTCTCCTCTGGAAGCAGCCGGCAGTGGTACTCTTCTCTTCAATAAAGCCTGTGTCCTGGCATCCGGTCTCTGGCCCCCCTCTCTGTTTCATCTTTCACAGTTTACAAAGTGTTCCCCCAATATCTCTGGTACCCACCTGGCACCGTACATACACGGCTATGACAATCCTATTGACTGTGTTCCCCACCCTCGTCACAATTTTCTAACTGCCAATTTGTGGTTTTTTAAATAAATCTTTATGTTAAAAGTCAACATAAGTCCTTCTCCCCCTCCCTCCCGCATTGACCCATTCCAGCCCACCACTGCCTCCCACCCCCCAAGCCCTCTGTTATAAGTAATTCGTTATTTATTACCAGAAAAATGTCATTGTGATGAAGATGAGCTTTTGCAGGTCAAACACCTGACTCCCAGTGTTTTCAGGAGAGAAATGGCTGGAATAGTCAGTACATCCCCGCCCCGCCTCGCCTCGCCCCCATCCCCGCCTCCCACAGAGGGTTCCGGAGTATCAAGCACTGGAAAGCCCTTTGCAGGTGGTAGAGCTCTGCAGAAGCTTGGGGGGCGGGGGGGTTCTTCGTTGTGGAGACACCCCAGACGCGAACCCCAGTTACAGGGAAGGACCCTGGCTTTCCATTCCCCTGTCTACTCCCCTCTCGGCACTCTCCAGCTGAGGCCCCCGAACCTCCTGTTGGTTAGCAAGGAACCCTGGGGCCCCCCTCCAGACTTCTTGATCCCAAAAAGGGATTTTTACGTGACCCTTCTGCTCAATCCGGCTCCCCAATGCCATTGTCTCACAAGATAATAAGGAGATATTTAAGCAATAGACCACAAGTCAGCATTTTTAAAGCCACCGTATAAGACAGAAATAAGGGACTGTTTCATGTCTGGTGGCTGCAGAATAAAAGAAAAAGAGAGGAAGTGTCGAGCACGGGGCTAGGGGGGTGGGAGGGGGAGGGCATTATTTGCTAATACATTGGAAAATCACGTTCCTTTCCCATGTCAGTGATGCTACAAGCACAGGGCGGCAGAGAGGACTGCAGTGGCACCCAGGCCGCAGTCTCACCCAGGGCAGATTCCCCCCAGGGGGAAATCCAGGAGCCACCGTCCAGCCCTGTCCACACACTTCATTAGAAACCTTCAGCACAGCCAAAACCGATCTGGCTCAGTGGATAGAGCGTCAGCCTGCGGACTGAAAGGTCCCAGGTTCAATTCCGGTCAAGGGCATGTACCTTGGTTGTGGGCACATCCCCAGTAGGGGGTGTGCAGGATGCAGCTGATTGATGTTTCTCTCTCATCAACGTTTCTAACTGTCTATCCCTCTCCCTTCCTCTCTGTAAAAAAAATCAATAAAATACATTTTTTTAAAAGCCTTCAGCACTGAAGTCATCTCACGGTATTTCTGACAGCGGTGACATCTCAGAGAGAGAAGCGCCCTGCAGGCATCAGAATGATGGACATCTGACACCAGGCATTGTTGGAGGTAGTCAGGTGCTCACCATTCCACGTTTTTCCTTCCTCCGGGTGCTTTTTGAGTGATTGCCGGTGTCTCTGTAGAGTCAGGCCTGCCTGGTTTTGCCTGCTAATAAACATCTTCGACGTGAAGAGTCCACACCCGGGTTATTTAAATACGTGAAAGGGGGAAGGAACAATTAAACCCCGGTGAAACTTTAGGCCAGTGGGAGGTGTAGGGTTTCTTCCTTCAGTGGCACACTCGGCTACCCTGGCAGGCGAAGGGCTCTCTCAGAGGCTCAGGGACGCGGTTGTAAACACCGGCCCGAACGCAGGGCTGCGGGAGGCCCGGGGCATGGACTTGGGGTCTTGACATGGTGGGTTCTGAGGAGCCGATCTTGGGCCAGAGGGTCGCCCAGCGCCCGGACGATGTCAACGGCCCCCTCTGCGGCTCACACGCCCGGGGGATGACCTGCGCCCACTAGGATGCCCGGATGGTTCAAGAAGGCGTGGTACGGGCTGGCATCTCTGCTCAGCTTCTCCTCCTTCGTCCTCATCATCGTCGCCCTGGTGCTGCCCCACTGGCTGAGCGGGAAGATCCTCTGTCAGACGGGAGTGGACCTGGTCAACGCCACGGACCCCGAGCTGGTCAAGTTCATCGGGGACATCTACTACGGGCTCTTCCGAGGGTGCAAGGTGCGGCAGTGCGGGCTCGGGGGCCGCGAGTCCCAGTTCACCAGTGAGTATGTTCGGGGCAGGAAAGATACTTTAGACGCTCACACCTATTTTTCCAGATCTGGAAGGGTGCTCGTGGCGAAATGTGGAGTTTGACTTCTGCCTCGCCCTGAGACACAAGGACAAAGTTCACACTCCCCCGGGGGTTCTTGTTCAGCACTAAGGAGGGACCTTGTTCCCCCTGTGAAGGCTCGTAGAGACATTAGAAATAGGGACTTGTGTTCCTTTTCGTTTACCCCTGTTCATAACAGCCGCTAAGATATTGAGTGCTTTCTTGAGCCAGACAGTCTGCTTTGTGCTTCACACGGCTGGTCTCTTAAGCCTTACAACACATTTCTAAAGAAGGAATTATTAACGGTCCCATTTTGCGGAGGACCACAGTGAGGCTCAGAGAGGTTGCATAGCTTGCCTGAGGTTGCCCAGCCTGGAAGGAGCAGAGAGGGACTTCATGGCCACGCCCCCTGCCTCGGGCACTCTTGGCCAGTCCCACTGGCAGGTGCAGGAGGCTGCAAGCAGAAAGCAGCCACCAGAGAGCATGGCAACTGCTTCCACTTCCGTTTATATAAAAGCTTGGTGTCTGCCCGGCTGGTTGAGTGTTGACCCATGAAGGTCATGGTTCAATTCCTGGGCAGGGCATGTGCCCAGGTTACAGGCTTGATCCCCAGTGGGGGAGGGGTGCATGCAGGAGGCAGCCAGTCAATGATTCTCTCATCATTGGCGTTTCTATCCCTCTTTCCCTTTCTCTTCCTCTCTGAAATCAGTAAAAAAAAAAAAAAAAAAAAAAAAAAAAAAAAAAAAAAAAAAAAATTTTTTTTTAATTAAAACTTCAAGGTCTGAGAAAAGCAAATGGGGTCTGTGCTGGGCTCTGGAATCAGACCAGGCCAGTTCAAAGCCCAGCATGCATGTTTGCTGGCAGAGACCTCAGACAGGGCTGCCGGCCATGAACGTGGGCGGGCACGAGCATTGGCTGACAGGCACAAGTGCTGGCTGGCAGCCAGGGTCACATCAGAGCTGCTCTGGATGTAAGGAGAGCAGGACTCCGGGACTGGCCTTCCGGAAAGAAAAAAACAAAACCAAAAAAGACAATATCCTGCAAGCCTTTGGAGTCAGATCGCTGGTGAGAACAGCGCTCTACAAAATCCAAATTACTCCTCATATTGCTGAGAATAAGGAATTGTATTTGTTATTTGATTTTATAGTTCAGAATTGTGGTTCTTAAGAACCTGACCGGGTTTAGTACCTTATTAAATGTATAAAGACAGAAGTTGGGCCATTGACAAATACTCTAATACAAATTGGCATCATTTAAATACATGAAGGAAATACATATTTTGTTATATGTATTCAAGAAAATAAGAATAGTTGCATTTACCCGCCAATGAAATTAGAATGGGATAATGAGGATATTGGAATATATAGCTCCCTTAAAAACATAACAGCCCTGGCCATATGGCTCAGTTGGTTGGCGTGTCATCATGTACAACAAAAGATCAGGGATTCGATTCTAGGTCAGAGCACACACATAGGTTTCGAGTTCAATCTTCAGTCTGAGCACAGATGGGAGGCAACTGATTGATGTTTCTCTCTCTCAAAATCAATTAAAAAAAAAAAAACACATATCCTCGGGTGAGGATTTAAAAAAAGACACATAAGATAAACGGCTCAGCACACACACACACACACACACACACACACACACATATACACACACATACACACATATATGAACAGTTAAATTAAAATAAAGGACAAGTTAAAAAGAAACACCCCAGAGCATCAATTTCCAAACCAATCATAGAGAAAATCAAAGAACTATATGTTTACCCTGGGACAACATGGGGGTTAGAGGTCCCACAACTGTAAGTTTAACCATCTGTTTACAAGATGAAATGATCAGCATGTAAGTGCACCTGTGAAGTTCAAATCCATGTTGTTCAAGAGTCAGCTGTAGTCCTGACTGGGTAGCTCAGTTGGTTAAAGTCATGTCCTGATACACCAAGGTTGTGGGTTCCATCCCCGGTAGGGGACACATACAATTACCCACCAATGAATGCATAACTGAGAACAACAAATTGATTTATCTGTCTATCTATCTCTTTCTCTAAAACCAATCAATCAATCAATAAAAATTTAGGGGAGGAGGGAGTCAATTGTACATAACAACCAGTTAAGATCCTTTTTCATACCTGAGGACACATGACTAACAATTTCATCTTTTGCTACTGGAATGAATATCCAATATATACAGCTTTGAACATATGTGAGTGTGCTCTCATGAAATTGCTTTGATAGAGTTACCAAATTGCCCTCTCAGGAGAGTATATGAATTAATATTCTACACAGTTTGACACCGTTATCAACACAGTGTATTGGCAAACTTTTTTATCTTTGCCAATCACATAGTGATTCTTTCCTATTTTAAGTGTTTGGTGAGGATTGCGATGCTAGTCGTGTTCTCGGGAGTGCATGTCAAGAAAAGGGATAATGAGCCCTGCCAGCGTGGCTCAGTGGTTGAATGTCAACCTATGAACCAGGAGGTCACAATTCCATTCCCAGTTGGGGTAATATGCCCAGGTTGCAGGCTCGATCCCCAGTGTAGGGTGTGCAGGTGGCAGCTGATCTACGATTCTCTCTCATCATTGATATTTCTATCTCTCTCTCCCTCTCCCTTCCTCTCTGAAATCAGTAAAAAATATCTTTCAAAAAGGAAGAAAGGGGTAATGAAACAAGTAGGTAACCAAGCAAAGCTACTATGTTTGGAATCAAAAGGGGCTGAAAGTGTGAAAAGAAAAACAAATGTATATTAGGGGCACTGAGGTGGGAGGGAAGGACAAGAAACCTTACGCAGGAAAATCCCTTGAAAAGGAGTTTATTTTCCAGGGTCAAGTTTCCAGTGCTCATGAGATAACCTGGAGATAACTATAAATGGAAACACTTCCAGACAGGGAGTTAGATCAAAACTAAGGACGCAGACACAGAGTGTCTGGAAACTTCTGAGTAGAAAAGACACCTTAAAGGAAGATGGGCCAAAATGCTCGCCCTCAGGCTTGGGAGACAGGCACCTTCCATGAATAAAGGGGGGCCGTGAGCCAGCAAAGGCCCAGAGGGGAAAGGATTGGGGGTGATGGGGTGAGTGGACCCAGAAGAGCTTCGAGTCCTGGATCCTGAGGGGGACAGACAAAGAGGTGCCTGTCAGTGGTACCCAATGATGAAGGAGGGACTTTGGAGTTCAAAGACAGACCCCAATTTGACCAGGAGGTATTCAGTAGACACCCTGGAATAGTTGCAGAGGAGTGAGTATGCCCGTTTGTTTAGTTTTTCATCATTTTGAAGTCTTCATTTATAACTACTGAAAATTGTTGTTGGATCGAACCCTGGAGTCAGAATAAGACCTGCTGATTGATTTAAAAAAGGCAGGCAATGATTTATTGAACTGGCCAGGACGGCCACGAGAGCACCACTCACAGGTGGGAGTACACACTCACGACTGCCCTGTTCCAGGTGTAGGCAGTCCTTTTAAAGGTCCAAACCACAAGAATTTTCCTTTGTTCTAAATTCTAAAGGCTGGGAACAGCCCACCGGGTCATTCCCAGCCACATCCTGCTGGACATTGGAATGTGGCTCTATCTTGCGAAAGCAGATAGTTCAGAAGCAGAGCTGAGTGGTTAATCTCTAAAGGTTATCTACAGTTTCTACTCCTGAAGCTACTGAGTCAGTGGGAATCAGTATCCTGTGGTCCTGGTCCACAGGTACAGAAAAATTGCCTTAGCCTCCAGGTCTCAATCAAACTACCCTATTGTTTAAGCAAGTAAGCGAGTGCCGAAGCCAGAATAGCAGGGTAAAAATTCAAACAGCAGTTTTTACCTAAATATGGTTGCTACCATACTTCAAAAATAGTGATCTAAGCTCTGTAGGCTATACAGGACTATAATCCTATGTGTAGAGTTCAGGGTCACCTTACCCAAAGATTAGGGAGGTAATGTCCCCAAACCTGTGGGGAAAAGGGGTTCATAAAATCAAGCTCCTATCCCTGTCACAAGGGTTAAAGAAGAGAGCAAATGTAAAATGCTCGACCACTGACTGCTCAGTACATGCTGATTACCCCCAATTCACACTCTGTGCAGGTATCATTATCCCCATTACACGGATGAGGAGACTGGGGGGGTCTGCGAAGTCAGAGAGTAAAAATAGTAACAGCAACAACCACAGCCACCCTTTTGGGGAACTGACATTCCCAGGCAATATTTAAAATATTATATTATAATGGAAAGGTATGTACACATATAATACCTTAATAAAAAATAAATAAATAAAATAAAATAAAATAAAATACTCTATTATGATACATCATTTAATCTTCACTGCTAATACGTGGTGGCAAATATAGAGAAAACAAATACCAGTGAATATTTCACTCAATTATCCCGCCACATGCATATGGATATTTTCAAAGAGTATTGTGCAATGTAAGGATTGAGTGTCCACGCCGAGACCAGTTTGGCTCAATGGATAGAGCGTCGGCTTGGGTACTGAAGGGACCCGGGTTCGATTCCGGTCAAGGGCATGTACCTTGGTTATGGGCATATCCCCAGTAGGGGGTGTGCAAGAGGCAGCTGATCGATGACTCTCTCTCATCGATGTTTCTAGCTTTCTATCTCTCTCCCTTCCTCTCTGTACAAACTCAATAAAAATATTTTTTTTTAAAAAAGGATTGAGTGTCCACCAGATACGGGGAAATAATGTCTGCCTTGCTGAGTCATTATGAGTGATGCACAGTGATGCTCCATGCTTCCTGTAGTGCCCAGTAGTGGGCGCTGTTATCATCCCTACACACTTCACTTGATCCCCTGGACAACCTTGTAAGATGGGTATGGAGGGCAGGGTTTAGAGGATCCTATTTGACAGTTGTGGCAAATGAGCAAAGCTGGGATTTGAACCCAGATCTTTGGGTGCCAGATCTAGGCTTTGCTCGGCTACATCCTGCTGCCCCCTTCACAGATATGCCTGAGACCAATCCTGATTTAATGAAGGCAACTCTCTTTTAACACATATTCAAGCTTTGTGATTGTCCTCTTTCACTGACTCTCTTGCCAACCTCTTTTGTCAAAGAGACGCCATCTGCCCGGCCAGGAGATCATGGTCCGATTCCCGGTCGGGACACATGCCCAGGTTGCAGGCTTAATTCTCTCTCATCATTGATGTTTCTATCTCTCTCCTTCTCCCTTCCTCTCTGAAATCAATAATATATACATATAAATAAATATATATGATCTCTGAACGCAATAATCTGGCCATTCAGTATATATATATATATATTAGAGGCCCGGTGCATGAATTCGTGCATGGGTGGGATCCAGCCAGCCTGGCCAGGGAAAGGGGACATGGGTGGTTGGATTGCCTGCCTGCTGGTCCAACTCCTGGTTAAGGGGACAATTTGCATATTAGCCTTTTATTATATAGGATATACACTGAGTGGCCAGATTATTATGATCTCTGAACGCATAATAATCTGGCCACTCTGTATATACAGTATACATATATACTGTATATATATATAAATGCCGTCCAGGTTTATATGCACCAGCTCACACCAGACCCCAGAGCTGTGCAGTCAACGTGCTTTAAGTTGCCAACAGGACACATTTAGATGTTGCCTTCTCCCCGAGGAAGAGAGGATGGTTGGGCAACTCACAAGTGGCAGATGCGGGGGCCATGACTTCATTCCTGGAAGGCTACAGCTCTTTGAAAGCCCAGCACTCGCTGCCCGGCCCTCACCCTCTCTAGTAAAGCCTCTGTGGTACGCCAGCGTGGGCCCCAGGAACGTGAGCCAAGCTCTGACATTGAAATAATGGCCGTGTCCCCTCCGCAGTCTTCCCCCAGCTGGTGAAGGAGCTCAACGCGGGCCTGCACGTGATGATCCTGCTACTCCTCTTCCTGGCCTTGCCCTTGGCTCTGGTCAGCATGGGCTTCGCCATCCTCAACATGATCCAGGTGCCCTACAAGGCGGTCAATGGGCCCGGTGGCATCTGCCTTTGGAACGTGCTGGCAGGTGAGGAGGGCCCCTGGGGGAGGCTGAATTCTGAGAACCTGGGTGGAGGGTGTGAGGGCATTCACCTGCCACCTCTGCCTTCACTTCCCTGGGTCTACAGCCTTCCTGTCAGGCCCTGATGTCCTTACTGAACACGGCAGAGTCTCTGTCACAATAAAGGCCAAATGGTTAGTGCGCATGAGTAGGGGCTGCTGCTGGCAGGAGCCCTCGCGGGTGACAGAAGAGAAGAAACCTGGGGATTTCACCTGCCTGTTTTGTTTAAACTTCACAGCCTCGCCGAAACCGGTTTGGCTCAGTGGATAGAGCACCGGCCTGCAGACTGAAAGGTCCCAGGTTCCATTACGGTCAAGGGCATGTACCTTGGTTGGGGGCACATCCCCAGTGGGGGGTGTGCAAGAGGCAGCTGATCGATGATTCTCTCTCATCGATGTTTCTAACTCTGTTCCTCTCTCTTCCTCTCTGTAAAAAAAATCAATAAAATATATTAAAAAATAATAAAAATAAATAAACCTCACAACCTCCATGTAAGGGGTAGGGAGTGTTATTAGCCCCCCATTTACAGATGAGGAGCCCAAAGCTCACAGGTAAGGTCACACAGCAGCGAGGAGCGGAGATGGGATTCGGATCCGGGTAAAGCTGAGCCGAAGACCTTTGCCTTTTCATCAACCCTTGGTCTCACTGATGACCATGGCACCCTATTTTCCATGTCAAACCAGGGCCTGGGCCAGGGGGGAACCTATTAATACAATGGAAATGGATGCCCTTGACCGGAATTGAGCCCGGGACCCTTTGATCTGCAGGCCACGGCTCTATTCACTGAGCCAAACCAGCTAGGGCACATGTGTCAAACACAAGGCCCGCGGGCCAAATCTGTCCCGCCAGGCCTTGCAATGTGGCCTGTACCGCGCTGTCATCACTGCACTCCGCTGCGTTTCCATCACAATGACAGTTTATGACTGTTCAGTAAACCATTCGGCCCGCGATTTAGGCTGGATTTTAGATTTTGGCCCCTTCTCTGATTGAGTTCGACACCCCTAAGCTAGGGCATGCAAGATGCTCTTATATCTTCCCACAGTGCCCTCAGGGCCTACATCCTAATCCCAAACGGTTTAGAAATTGAACTAATCCAGATATGCACTCCCAGGGGGAAAATTAGAGGGGTCAAGGGTGAGAGCCCATCCTATCTGAAGCTTATCCTCTTTCTGCAACACCTCTCATCCCTCAGACCATGTGGGCTACCTGCCACTTTAAGAAAGCAATTTAAAATTTGTGTCTCCCTAAGGGCATATATATTTGATTTTTTGCAGAGAGGAAGGGAGAGGGATACAGAATTAGAAACATTGATGAGAGAGAAACATTGATTCAGCTGCCTCCTGCACACCCCCTACTGGGATGTGCCCGCAACCAAGGTACATGCCCTTGACCGGAATCGAACCCAGGACCCTTCTGTCTGCAGGCGGACGCTCTGTCCATGGAGCCACACCGGCTAGGGCTCCCTAAGGGCTTTTTTTTTTTTTTTTTTTTTTTAAAGCCAAAGCGAGTGTGTTTCCTGGGCCGCAGGTTGTTACTGCTGGCGAAAGGCACTGCAAGTGAGGGCCGCCTCTCTGGGTTGCAGGTGGCGTCGTGGCCTTGGCCATCACCAGCTTCATGGCCGCCGTGCGGTTCCACGAGCTGACAGAGCGCATCGCAAACTTCCAGGAGCGGCTGTTCCGCTTCGTGGTGGTGGAGGAGCGGTACGAGGAGTCCTTCTGGATCTGCGTGGCCAGCGCCTCCGCCCACGCCGCCAACTTGGTGGTGGTGGCCATCAGTCAGATCCCCCTCCCAGAGATTAAGACCAAAATAGAAGAGGCCACTGTCACGGCCGAGGACATCTTGTATTGATAGCCTTCTCCTGGCCGGCCACGCCGTCTCCTAAGTCAGCCTGGGGCGGGAGTGGAGGCCTCATCCTGGCTGTGGGCTTCGCCGTCCAGAAGGCCCATGATTTGGGCAAATAGCAGAAGGCGACGGGAGGATGGAGGCTGGTACCGCGGCCAGAAGAGAAAAACGTTCCCGGATTCCCGGCATCGCTGTCCTTCCCTCTCCATGGCCTTGGACTTGGAGTTGGAGACTTTGCTCTTGCCAGCTGTGTGACATTGGACCATTCATTTCACGTCTACTTCTCAGTCCCCTCGTCTGTGAAATGGGGATAAGAATGACCTCACATGATGTAATGGGCTAGCATGTTGCCAGGCTGTGGATATGGTAGAGCATTCCACGAATATAACACACAAATATAAGAACATTCCAGTAGAAGCCTATGGACCCTGGCCTATTCCATGCATTATGGCGGGGGGAGGTTTGTTGATGTCCCTGCCTTCCGGAAACACTGAATCTTCCCACCTGACACAGGAACCAGAGAGCAATAATAACATTAAGAATGAAAATAACTGCCTTTTTTTTTTTTAGTGATTACTACCTGTAAAAAGTTGTTCTTAGAGTTTTAGGTACATTAGGCTCTCACTGCAACCATAGATGGTCAGTACAGCTTTCTATTTCCATTTTATAGATGAAACTAAGGCGCGGAGAGGTTGGGTAACGTGTGAGGTTGTTGGGGGGCTTGAACCGTGGAAGCTGGAGCCAGGGTTTGCATGGGCAAGCACTTTGCCAGTCTGTCGTCTGGTGCGTAAAGCAACGGCAGCGGCGCAGTGTGTGTGATCAGTGCTGCGGCAGCGCAGACGTAGAAGGCTGAGGAAGGAACGAGTTCTTCGGGAATGGAGGAAGGGACGTGGGATTAAATAAAGAATGTGTCACACGGGTGACATTGGATCTGAACTCTGAAAGGTGAGCAGTTTTTCCAGTGGTGAAGGAAGCAGGGCCGGGCAAAGGCCTTCAGGATGTGTCCGTGATGAGGGGAGGTGCAAGGTGTGGAATTACAAGGAAGGCTTGGAAGCCCAGGAAGAACCCAGAGGGATGAGAACTAATCCACCCGGGTGGAGAAGCCCAGCTGTTCTGTGTTGGGCTTGCACTTTCCTAAGCGGTATTGTGTGACGGTTCATTGTATGCGTTGGCTTGGCTAGGCCGCGGGACCCCGATGTTTGCTCAAACACTATTCCAGATGTTTTTTGTGAAGGTACTTTTGGGATGGGATTTACATTTAAATTAGTAGACTCTGAATAAAGCAGATTGCCCTGCGTATGTGGGTGGGCCTCATCTGATCAGTTGAAGGCCTGAAGGATAAGTCTTTCTAGTCTCAAGGGAGAGGGAATTCTGCCAATAATTGTCATTGAACTTAAAATGCACCTCTTTCCTGGAACCAGCTTACCCTGCAGATTTTGGTCTTTCCAATCTCCACAATCATGTGAGCCAATTTCTTAAATACTCCCCTCCTCTCTCTCTCTCTCTCTCTCTCTCTCTCTCTCTCTCTCTCTCTCTCTCACCATATTTACATAATGCACACACATTCTCTGTTTCTATTCCTCTGGAGAACCCTCTCTCATTCAATCATATTAATTTATTAATTCCTGGGGTGGATCTTCTCCCAGGTCTCCTGTCTTTATGCCAAGTAAACGTTAACTAATCCCCCAAATTAGCTCCTTCTTACATGACACCGGATTTGGACTCTCTCTGCCTTTGCTTAATGCGTAAGTGTCCATGGCATTGTTCTGTCCTAATTGCTTATGACCCCTGTGGGGCCATCAGTCTCTTCCAGCCCTCCACTCCCACCCCAGACACAGCGGCAGGCCTAGTTAGTGAACTGATGTCACTCATCAAATATGCAGATGGCACATGGCTGAGGGGAGAGTTAACTTGAGAGGCGATAGATCCAAAAGATAGTGGCAGACTGCAGTGCTATCTCGAAACACATGGGAATGTCAGTGTCCCGCTAAGTTTAACATCAAGTCCTGCTGACAGTGAAAAACAATCAATCACATAAATACGGGAGACTCAGGCAACAGGTTACATGAATAACATCTGGGGATCTGGGTACATTTATTCATTCAACGAGTATAAGAACTGATCTGGTGCTGGGAGTAGAGCAATGAGCAAACACAAAAATCCCTGCCCTCCAGAGATGTCCTTCTCCCAGCGGCGGGGGATGACGTGCTGAGAAAGCGAGTGATGGAGCCACAGAGCCCTTGGCCCAGCCAAACTCTCACCCTGATGCTGACCCCAGGCATGTGCGGGCTGTCACGAAGGGACAGGTTGGATTTGCTTTTGCTCCCAATAGCAGAATTACCTTATCAAGATGGTAACCTTGATCGGATGGAGGTGTTCCAGGGGGCGAAGGGCAGGCTTTTGTTCATGTGTGCGTATTCCTGGCAAGAGAGTTCACGGTTTTCTAAAGAGTTTCAGAAGTGTCTGTAGCACCTGAAGTGTTTAAACCAACGACCCATCAGGGCCAGCTGCAAGTTCGCTGGAGCTAATCAGGTCAACACAGTTCACTCCCGTGGTCACCCAAGTGCGGAGAGAACGTGTGGCTCCTTCAGTTTGACTGTAGCTAATGGCCTGGTCATGCATACGGTCTCTCCAGGGAATGCTGAGGCTCCCTGGGATACAGTGGCTTCTCCTGAAGGTGGCTCTCCGGTGATGGAAGAGGAAGGCACCCACACACATACTCCTGGCCTCCTGCTGGCTTGGGGGGAGAAGGAGGGAACTAGGTTCCTGGCCCCCTGACTGCCGCTTGCTCTGCCAGCCTCCCCAGCGCTGCCTATGGCTGGAATAATTTGTGAAACGTTCTTTCAACTGGTCCGAGTCCAGTCACTGCTGGAAGGCTTGCCCTCATCTTGGATCCTGTGGGCCTGATGATCCCTGAACGGCCAGCAAGTGCTTGCTCCCTCCAGCTCACCTGTCTGCTGGTCCACGCCCAGGCTCTGCTGCAGTCATCCACCTGCCTCAGCAGCCCAGCAGCCCTGCCTGGTGTCAATTCAGCATCCTGCCCCCAGGCATGGGGTGGGATGGGATGGGGGGGGGGGGGGCGGTTGTCCTGGGCTCCTCTCCATTTCCTCTTACAAAGTGATTAAGGTGATTCAAAGACCAGTAATTTCCCCTCAAATGCACTTAAGAAGTTTCCTGCTAATGTAATATAGTCCATTAAGAAATAAATTCCGTTTTAAAAATTAAGTCTCCAGACTTCATTACAAATTTAAAAATCAAATCACAGAATAGTCTGTAATTAGCATGAAATAGTATATACTTGGTATGAAATACACAGAGCCCATTGAGATGGTTATATTCCCCCACACCTGGGAAAAACATTGTGGAACTCATTTCCTGCCAAGTGCTTCAGGCGACCTTGACAATGGCCAAGGTTGATGGGGGGAACATGATTCTGTGCCTTAGGTGCTGCCCAGCCCTTTCGAGGTCACCATTTCCTCATTTGGAGAATGAGAAAGTTGCACTGCATGCCAACGACCACCCCGTGTACTTGACCTGCTTCCTTCCTGTGTCTGACAATTACTCAAGAAACATAACGCTGTCTTTATTTTACAGACTCCAGAGAACTTAAATAGCTTGCTCAAGTCACATTACAACTAAAGAACGGAGGAAGGGTTCAACCCCCATCTGCATAGTGTCAAGACCACCATTCTCCCACTACCCCATGCTTGCCTTTCCTTGTCACAGAAGACCGGAGAAAATTCAAGCAATGCTTAGAGAATGAGTTACACTGCTTTGTTACACAGACGGTCTCAGTGGAGTCACCTCCCAAAAAATCTGAACAAAGCAATATGGTGGGAGCTTTCCTTTATGTTCTTTTGGTCTCTTTGTCCCCCAAATATGTTTTTTTTCCGGGTCTTTAGCAGGCTTTACAAAGAGCCCCATGTAGATGTTTTGCAGGCAGCTTGTAACCTTGAGTGCAGCACAACTTAGTGGATAACTAACAGGCACCCGGTATGGGAGTGAGTAGAAACAGCAGCAGAGCCGCTTTCAAGGTCAGACAGTTGAATTCACAGAACAAAGGACTATTTATGCAAAGTGAAAATTCAAACAGCAGTTTTTACAAATAGAGTTACTATATTATGGAAAGAAGTAGCCTTTAGCCTCATCCTGAAAGACTCAGGGAGGAGGGGGGGGGGCAGATTTTTTCCAGGGCTTCTACAGATGGCTGTGCAAGTTGCACCCGCCCAACAGGTATCTGCTCAAATCTAGTCCATGTTGCCCTGGCTTGTCAGGGCCTGAACGCTCAGGGATGCTCCCACCCAGAGAGGGTATCTCTTCCTTACACTCACCAAGGTGTCTGCTAGGCTCACAGTGCTTTATCCCCATCCATGTAAAGTACAAATGTTCATGATAATATTAGTTTATGACATGGATTATAGCATGATGATTACTTTTCATATGTCCCTTAAAATTATCATCATTGATAGATTATCACTCCTCCTCATTTTCCTTGTAGTTGTGCCTGTTAAAGTAGGCGTAGGGCTTCAGAAGAAACCTGTGTCACCATGACCAACATGAAATTATTGCAGAATAAATTGGGGTTTATGCTCTCCCTTGCTCAACTGCAAGGCGCCTGTGAGCCAGCAGGTCCCATGCCAGGCTTTGTGCTGCGTTCTCCACACGAATCATCTTGTTTCATCCTCACAAAAACCTGAGGAGTTACTCTGATCACCAGCTATTGGGTTTTCTCCCTTGTAAAATAATCAACTTGAATAAGATGATCTCTGGTTTTGCTTTTCCCTCTAAAATGTTTTTTTTAATCTTATTTTAAAATTTGATTTTAAAGAGATAAAAAGGGAGAGAGAAAAGGGAGAGATAAAAAGGGAGAGAGGGGAAGAGGGAGAGAGAGAGCTGAGTCCTTTGCCTTGAGGGCTTCCATCCAATTTCCAAAGGCGGGGACCATGGGGTACTTCCCAGGGGAGGATCTCAATAGAATATTCATCATCTTTTCGGGTGTGTCCTCTCAGGGTCACGGTCAGGGGGTCATTAGCGCAGCTGGCTCTGAGGTCAGCCACTAGGACTTAGATGCACTCAGAGGACAGACCTTTTGAAGATCCAGACCATCTCCAAGCCAAGGAGGCAGGCCTCAGGAGAAACCAGCCCTGCTGACACTTTGAACTCAGACTTCCAACCCCTAGAACTGTGAGACATAAATTTCTGATGTTTAGAAACTGATTCTGAGACTGAATGACTTTTTCAAAACTGAAGTGGTATGATCCCTTTTCACCACTAGGGGGAAGCAGTCCACTGGCTCTCATTGCATTGTGTCCTGGGCTGTGACCATTGGCTGGACAGGGAACCTTGAATGGTTCTTCCAACTCAGATTCGGTCTGATCCTAATATGCAATTCCAAATTTAAATCACATAGGAAAAGCCCTTTTATACTGTATATAAAATTCCTGGCGAATTATTTTGGCCATCATTTCTCAGGGAGGTATTGCAGGACCCGAGAAGATAGAAACTGCTAGCGTGTTAGAGGTCTTCTATCTTTTAAGTCATCAGCCACAAAAGGTTTTCTTTTTTTTAGTCTTCTGGGGGGGGCAACAATAAAATACTTGGTTAACTGACAACTCATCAAGTATAAAAAGAAATGGGGCAATCCTGATTGGATAATTTTTTTTTTATCCGTAAAGGTTCACTCTTTAAAAGTTATTATCATTATAATAATACACACCAAAAAATTTTGGAAAACACAAAACTATGAGAAAGCAGATGAATAGTAACCCAATATGGATATTTTAATTTATTTTCTTAAATGATTGATACTTTAAATCTTTTCTGGAATAAGGAAAGCAGATGGATGGATGGGTGAATTCATTCATTCATTCATTCATTCATGGATGGATGGATGGATAGATGATTACACAGGAAATATCTCAATAGTTTCTAAACCTGAGCTTTAAAAAACTAAATAAGAATCTACTGGGGTTGGGGAGGAGAGAGGATAGTAGATTCCTGTGTGTGTGTGTGTGTGTGTGTGTGTGTGTGTGTGTGTTCTCCAGTTGAAAGTTTAGACTTGGCATTTGGGAATTACTGACATACTTGAGTTTGTGAGTGGTGCCACAGAAAATATTCAGGGCCTGCAAGGTTAAGTTCTTAAATTTCACTAACCCAAATTTCAGAGGCCAGATTGGAATTAAAGTAGCCATCAAAAAAAAAAAAAAGAAATGAAAGCGAAGACCAGAACTAGCTAAGGCCTGAGTCAGGGGAAGCAGTGAGTCAGGTGTGGGAGGGAGAGGATTGTGATGACTCACTGGCGGCCAGCACGGCGTTCACCTCAGCAGCTGCTGGGAGCAGAGTCTACATAGGGTGTCCCCCTGCCTGAGCCAGCAGCCTGACTCAGAGGAACCCAGGGACCCCAGGGCCTCAGAAAAGCCTCTCTGGACGTCAGAAATGAGATGGTGCTTCATCATCAGCATCACCAGAATGCTGGTGAGAAAGGCAGAATCTTGGGCCCTCCTCCAGACCCTCTGAATCAGAAAGCACACTTTTACAGGACCCTGGGGCCATTCTACACACTCAAGGTTAGGGGTTCTAGACCACCTAACCGTAACGGTGAGTCAATGGCACCAAGAGTGGCCACAGCAGACTCTTCATTCATTCATTCATTCATTCATTCATTCATTCATTAACTTAGGAAGATGCCCAGCCCGAGGGGTCCTGATATAAGTGCAGAATTAGCAGGATCAATAGGTTAAAGGCTACCCTCCCTGCAGATAAGAAGAGTACACGGATCTTAAACAGACGGCTCAAGGTACAGAAGTGTCGTGTCACATCTATATTCACTGGTAGAATTCATAAAAAATGAAACAAATCTTTGTGTGTGTGTGTGTATTTCGCTTCTCAAAGGCAAGGCAAAATATTGCCTTAAAACCAGGAAAATCACGACTACAGGTGTTGAGTGTTCACGATGCTTCAGGCATTCTTTCTCGTGCTTCACAAATCTCTTCCTCGAATTCAGTCCCTACATAGATTCAACTGGCCTCCACGTCCCCAAACTGCACTCTGCTACAGTTACTGGGCATTCATTTTCTAACTCCGGAACTAGAATCTGTGGAACTCAGAAACACACATTTCTACCCTTCTCAAATTTCAGAATCAGCACGTTAGCTTTTGAAAAATGCAAACTTTCAACTCACCTGCTTTGAGATTCTGAGTGAGAGGGTCAGGAGTGAAACCTGCAGCTCCCGTCTCTATAAGCACCCCAGGGAAATCTTACACACCCAGGCCACAACCGCACCCTGAGAAACGTGGGTCTAGGGCAGTGGTCGGCAAACCATAGCTCAAAAGCCACAAGTGGCTCTTTGGCGCCTTGAGTGTGGCTCTTCCACAAAATATCAACACCTGGGCGAGTCTATTTTGAAGGAGTGGCGTTAGAAGAAGTTTAAGTTTAAAAAATTTGGCTCTCTAAAGAAATTTCGATCGTTGTACTGTTGATTTTTGGCTCTGTTGACTAATGAGTTTGCCGACCACTGCTCTAGGGATTAGTGATAGCTTCCTACCCGGAGGCCTCACTTCCCAGAGGCGAAGAGGGGTTAACCAGAGCACCCCAGAGATGCACTGGCTTTACAAGCGCTTCTGTAACACCAGTGATGCCAATGAAACAGGGTTGAAACAGGGCAGAGCTTGGACTGACTTGCCTGGTGACGCCTCTCTGGCAGGACGGGGTGCCTGAACTTGAAGCTCTGCCATCCGGAGGTAGAACAGTGACTCACAGGTGAAGCCTAAGAGATTAGGGATTTTGTATTCTCCAGTAATTCCCTCAGAAAACTGTCCCAATGTAATCCTGCTAGAAACACAATAATAATTTTTATTTATTTTTATTTTTAAAATATATTTCTACTTACTTCAGAGAAGAAGGGAGAGGGAGAGAGAGAGAGC